ATTCTAATTTAATGTGTGATATGTTAGTAGAACTTAGCCGTAGGAGCTGAAGTTTTTAAGTAATAACTTAAAACCTTCAGAAGGAGGCTGAACTTTTCCTTCTACACTAGCTAAATTTTTGCACTAAAAAAACTTCGGCCAAGCAGCTGAAGTTTTTTTGTTATTACTTAAAAACTTCAGAAGGAGCCTGAAATTTTCCTCCTACACTGGTTAAATTAAAAAATGATATTGCACTAAAAAAACTTCGGCCAAGCAGCTGAAGTTTTTTTGTTATTACTCAAAAACTTCAGCAGGAGGCTGAAGTTTTCCTCCTACACTAGCTAAAATAAAAAATCATATTGTACTAAAAAAAACTTCGAATAAGCACTAACAAAAACGCAGAAAAAACTTATAACAAAAACATAATATTTCATTAAAACACAATAAAATTTAATATATGATATGTTAGTAACATATTGCACTAAAAAAACTTCGGTCTAACAGCTGAAGTTTTTTATTTATTACTTAAAAACTTCAGAGGGAGCCTAAGATTTTCCTCCTACACTAGTTAAATTAAAAAATGATATTGCACTAAAAAAACTTCGGCCAAGCAGCTGAAGTTTTTTTGTTATTACTCAAAAACTTCAGCAGGAGGCTGAAGTTTTCCACATACACTGGCTAAATTAAAAAATCATATTGCACTAAAAAAACTTCGGCCTAGGAGCTGAAGCTTTTTATTTATTACTTAAAAACTTCAGAAGGAGACAGAAGTTTTCCTCCTACACTGGTTAAACTAAAAAATGATATTGCACTAAAAAAACTTCGGCCAAGCAGCTGAAGTTTTTTTGTTATTACTCAAAAACTTCAGCATATTTTTCACATACACTGGCTAAATTAAAAAATCATATTGCACTAAAAAAACTTCGGCCTAACAGCTGAAGTTTTTTATTTATTACTTAAAAACTCCAGAAGGAGGCTGAAGTTTTCCACATACACTGGCTAAATTAAAAAAATCATATTGCACTAAAAAACTTCGGCCTCGGAGCTGAAGTTTTTTATTTATGACTTAAAAACTCCAGAAGGAGGCTGAAGTTTTCCTCCTACACTAGCTAAACTAAAAAATCATATTGCACTAAAAAAACTTCGAATAAGCAGCTGAAGTTTTTTTGTTATTACTAAAAAAACTTCGAATAGTTTGTTTCCTCTGCTATTTTACGAATTTAAATAGAATAAATATTAAAAGAAACGCAGAAAAAACTTATAACAAAAACTTAATATTTCATTAAAACACAATAAAATATAAAAACAAATTACATAAATAAACAAAACAAAAAAATTAATCGTCCATTCCATCATCATCATCATCGTTGTCGCTTCCAGATGGACGAGCATCTTCATCAGCAAGATTGTCAAATCTTGCATACATCACAAGCGTATCAAGCTTGTTGTTAATTTCTTTGAGCTCCTTGTCGTACTTTTCTATCACCTCATCAATCTTCAACTCAAATGCCTTCATTATGTCTTGCTTGATCTCGTCCACTATTTGCCTAATGACAGCATTCATTTTTCTCCTTTTTGTATTTTATATCTGCTAAAATGTATGTGTTTGAGTGAATAAACTCAGAAGGAATAGCGTGCTTATATAGGGGGAAAAAACTTTTGCATGGTATATGAAAAGGCAAAAAGAAATTTTAAAGGTTGTCTAATGAAAA